CATGAGCTGTCCCACCATATCTCAGTTACTCCCATCATGTAGCAGTACTGTGACCAGAGACTGCTCTTGTTCTTCATGCTTGTTTCTCAGGCTGTGTGCATCTGTGCTTGAGCATGTACAGGCTTCCTTTCTCCAGAACCATCAGCACTGCAGAAAAACCCAGCACACTGTCTCATAAAAGCTTCTGCCAGGACTAGATACATTCTAGGCTTCTTTATTTAATATCTGCTGCAACAGCAGAATGCTCATATTGTGCTGCTGTAGTAGGAACCTTTTTTTAGGAAGGCACAATGTGATTCATTTTTTTGATTTTGAGAAAACACAGAGGTTTTTAATTTCCTGGGGTTTGATGCTTTTTTTTCCCAAAACCAGAGTAAATTGCTCTGCAATAGCTTAGAGAATTCTTTGTGCTCCATTTACTAGCCTATTTACTTCATTTCTCTAAGCAGGCCCTTATGCAGCACAATTGTCTCTTCCATGTCCCTTCTCTGATTCTGAATCAGTGCTTCTCTCCTCACTCCTTTTTTGTAAAGTTTTCCCAGAAATGCGTCTAGGTGAAAACTTCAATGGCTTGACAACATCAAGAGATGCACTTAAACCCTAGGTCTGATTGTTATACATAAAGATATTAAAACAAATCATTTCACCCATGCCTTTCCATCTATAATCTCAAAATAGAGAAAAGAATGATACAACAAATTACAAAGTAGCCTTCAATTCAGATCTCATTATTAATGACGAAGCTAACATGATAAAAAGTAAAAAAGGTCAGGCAATAACGGATTCAGTGTATCACCAATTATTTGTGGAGTTACAATGAAAAAAAATATTCTAATTAAGTAATAGAACACTTATACACTGAGATATACCTAAAAACAATCTCAAAGGATTTTAAATGCTACTAGGACTTAATTTTTTTAGTTGTATGGACTAGAAACCACTGCTTACTATGCAGTATTATTCCTATACACATCAAGATATCTTCATGTAATTAAACTCTTGTTGCCTTTCAATTAGCGCAGACATGCTATGTACAGGAAAACTGGGATATTAATCAGTTTCTCCTGAGTAGTGTTTCCCGAAGAAAGAAAGGAAAAGCAACTTTTTAGAGCCAAAAGCAGTGTTACCTCTATAAAAATAACAGCAGAACATAAACTAAAATCTAACTCGCAGAGTGGAGTGGGGTGTCACAGGAGGGAATGGCGTAATACTGACTTGGTGGGATTCTGTTCAAAACTACAGAAAGCATTTTTGATTTCCCTGTATGTATTAGGAGATCTGGCTAAAATTTGCTGGGAGAACTTAGGCTTTTCTATGTGGGGCCCCTAAATTAAAAGCCTTTTAAATTGTGCTTAGAATGTCTTTTACACATCACTGCAAAAATACTACTCTTAGATGCAAATTTAGTAAGTTCTGCTTGATGCAATCCTAGAATCAAATTAATTAGCAGAGAATTAAAATTTTGTTCTGTACTGTGCTGTGATCTTCTACCATGATTTTGCTTCTCATCATCCTAACTAACATTACACAGAGTTTACAAGATTGCTTTTGTATTTTTAGTATTATTTGAAGACAAAATACTTGTATTATGCACTAACCAAACTTAAGACTCTCTCATCACAATACAGTTTTTAGGAAGTATCTTCAATACATCTTCACAGTACATGAAGTCAGACAATTTTTTATTTAAAAAGCAACCTGTCAGGGTTTAAAAAGCAACCTGTCTTGACAACTGGTTCTAACAGTAATGTCACTGTCTAGACATATTAATAAGAAATATTTAAAGAGTTCTGATCCATATTGAGGAAAGCATAATTGGCTACAAATATTTCTGCATTCTCACTTGCCACTTTCAGATATGCATCTTTTTCCAACCTGCCTTGTACATCTTAAAATGTCTTTCTTAATAAATAGTTATTGCAATATCTTTCTTAAGGTATACCTTTGGGATGTTAAAAAAAAAAAAAAAAGGACTAGGAATAAAAGCCTCACTAGAACAGAAAGTACAGAACATAGCAATCTGACTAAAGAAATATATGCAATTCTCATATATGCAATTTAATTGCGTTAAGAGGACACAGATAACTCATTAAAAAAAATCTTCTATAACTGCTCTGTGGTCTGGAGCAGAGACCTACTCTAGCTTATTCAGCCTCACTAAAAGCACTCTGCAAGGCCATATACTAGTCTTGAGCTGCAGATCTGTGATATTAAATTGTTTGAAAATAATTTTGCAAACTACACTTTAAGGAGCAGGCTTCTGATAAAAATGAAGCCTCAACAAACTTCTACCACAAACAGTCTCCACTTGACACAGACTGGTATTTTATTCTGGAGCCACACAAAGACAATACAAACAATTGGCAAGTTCTTCAACATCAAGGCGAACAGTTGAGGTTTTATTACTCTTCCAAAAAGCAGTAAGATACAATTTACAAGGCCACAATCCCTCCTTTTCAGAGTTATTCCAAGAAAGGCATAAAGAAAAAACCCATGCACAGCATCTTTTAATATTGTCTTATGCTAAAGTAGTCTAGCTGGTTTGGCTGTCCAGCACATATCGGAACGACTCTAAAACTGACTGAGCTTTAGGATGCACCAAAGTTTGTGATTTGGAGGAGCCTTTACCCACTTCTATCATGTTAGTGTCTTCTTATTTTTACAACTGTCTCTTTCAAACCTACAATCTTCCACATGAAGTAAGTCAGTCACTAAATAGTTTTGTACTTTCTCTCTGTTCAGAGGAGAACATACACCTATTTGGGATTTTTTTTCTTTAAAAAAAAAAAAAGTGTTCTGACACAGAAATTAGTAGCACAAAAATCTTGTTCCAAGCACTTTACAGTAATGTATGGTACTTGTTCATCTGCAAGGAGCAGAAGCTTTACAGGTTCTGACTCTCTCACCAACACCTACTGTGTTTCATTCCAGGTCTACCCGAAGAGTAAGTGGCTCATTTCTGTGCACTGTCACACTTAAGATGGGTGAACTGATAGCATCCAAGTCCCAGTATTTCACCGTAAGAATACATATATGCTTTAAGTTTAGCTATTTCATTCTGGTCCTAGCATGACCTAACTTCTCCAAGCATTTCTAGTTACAATTTTGTCTAAAGCAAATAAATCAGGCTATATCATTGTCTACAAATATCTTGAAAGTCCAGTAGTAAACTCCATGTCACAGGTTTTAGTCACACATGGAAAAGACAAATGGCAGTCTTCCCTCTTCCCTACACTCTCCCCAAGTTTGATGCAGGGCTACATTCTTCTATCCCTTAATGACATGAAATTTAGTTCTCTTCCCTGCCCCCACTGAGTTTTTTACATGTGATTCAACTGTACACGTTGAATGTGTTTTCAAATAATGGGGGTTTTCTAACATGGCAGGTGCATCTGCAAACCCAGTAGGAATCAGATATGATCAGGTGTTTGTAGTGCTAGAAAGAAATATACTATTCTCACCATAACCATTGTCAAAAAGAAGAAATACAGTGAAGGGGAAGTTCCTGAAGAACAACTTGCAAAAAAATCATATATAATTTTGAAAGGGCATTTTTGTAACTGCCTTCAAAGTTTGTTTTTTATAAATGCCTGAGCATTTGAGCTAGTACTAGCCAAGGCATTCGACTAGACTGGCATTCGAGGTCTGCAGCTACCTCTACAAATGTTAGCTTGAATTCAAGCTCTTTCCTCAACTTTATTTACCCAACAGAGAAGCAGTTTGTGAAGCAAGCTTCCACTGTAATTTCACTATCAATCTTTCAAACTGAAAACCTTTCTGTTTTTTGGATTTCCAAAACCCTTAGGGGTGGGAGGATCATTTCTCTGCAGGAGGAAAAAAAAATATTGTGCACAAAACTTGTGGTTGCATCTAAGAAACACGTAACACAGCACAGACAGAAAATGATGTCTACAAGTCATGCAAAAGGTTGCTCTTCTTTGAACACATAAGAGTTATCCACTGTTTTATTATATAGGCTTTCCTTATGCTATCTTTCTTCTTCTTAGACACATTTCCAAGGCCACCTTCAGAGTTTACTTTGATCCTACAAAACCTACTACTGCACACTGCTTTATAAATTAGAATATGCCATCTACTGGCAATTTAGTAAATTGGAAGTTCATCCATCACTACTTTAAACATTCTAAAAATGTTACCTGTGTTCAATTTAAATGCAAAACTAAACGAACAAACTGCAGCTAAATTCTTCAGACTGCATTCCAGCACTTGGCATACAAATATTACGAGTAAGTTACCAGATATTCAACAACAAATCAGAAAGCTAGTGCTATGCTGTAGCTCTGTTCAGCACAACTTTCTGAAACCTAATCAAACTGGTTTTCCTTTTTTTCTGCTCTTATTTTTTTTTTTATTTTATGAGATGGAATTAAACATCCCCATGCCCTAGTCTGAGGTTTCCAGAAAAATTCAGCTGCTGTTACCTGACTAAACTTAAAGAAAGAACTGTTTCAAAGATTTTTTTAATAGTGAGAGAGTTGAAACATATTTAACTCATATAGTTTAAAAGTATAAGATCATGTTTTAGCAGTTCCATTATAACTTTCTCTAAAAAAAAAAAAAAAAAAAAAAAAACCACAAAAAAAACCCAAACCCAAAACACCCACTTCACTTTAACGTATACATGTTTCTTAATACTGCAGTGTTACACTTCAGTAAGACAGCTCAGCTCCAGCATAGATGTACTTTTCCAAGTAGGTTTCCAAAACTGCTTTTAGAGTCTGGCTACTTTAACGAGTTTCCACTTCTACAATTCGTTAAGGCAGGCTGTTGAGGCAGTCCTTTGACACAGAGAACAGGTGCTTTACACAGCTGAACCTGCTGCACAAGGTAAGCACAGAGGAACTGGTGGAGTCCCTAAATGGAGCACCTTTCAGCCCGGAGGACAGCAAAGCGCAGCAGGTGAAGCTGCCGGTCCAGCCGTGCGCAGGCAGGGAGCCGCGGGACAGCTTCCCCCGCACCGCCGCCGGCCTCGCTCTTACCTGGAGCCGCATAAACTCCTGCTGCCCTTTCAGGCTGTCGTTCATGGCCTTCGACAAGACGAACCCCATCGCGCCCTGCAGCGCAGAAGACACGAGCCGGGGGATGCCCGCGAGCCGGGGGAACCGGGAGAGGATGAGGAGCCTGTCCTGGGGGCCGCCCCCTCTTCCTCCCCTCCCCATCGCCCCCTCTTCGGCTATAGAAACTGTCTCAAGGAATTTGCAGAAACCCATCCCATATGAATAGACACACAGGCCCTGGTACTGTCACCGCTCGGGGTGATGCATGTAGGCAATGCATGTAAGGAACAAGGAATTAAAAATGCCTTTGTTGCTTAATGCCTCTTATCTTGTTCTGGCTTTTATCATGTGTCAGAATGTTTTCATGACATCATCACCCATAACAACAGGCTGGCTTTGAAATTCAAAGAAACTAAATTTTCATACTTAAAAATACTGAGTCAGAAATTATGCTCTGTCAGTTGACCTTTAAAACAGTGATACAAATAAGTGCTAGAATTACAAAATTACAGAATATTCTGAGTTGAAAGAGACCCACAAGGATCATCAAGTTCCACTCCTAAGTGAATGGCTCACACGGGGATCAAATCTACAGCCCTGATAATATTAACAGCATGCTCTAATATCCAGAATTCTTTTGGCACTAAAGAGTATCTCATTCAGTTTTGCAACTTGAGTCTGTGAGGATACACAACACTTCAAACACCACCTCATAGTGCAATTTGACATTTTGTCCTACCGCAAGAATTAATATTTTTCCAGAAACAGTCTACTCCTTCAATCTGCTGATATCTTGAACTGCAAATGCTGTCCTTGACAATATTCAATGTTTGTTTTCTAAATTCAGACATTTTAAAAAATAGTTTTGTTTAAAAAAAAAAAAAACTAAGGAGCCAGGTGTTTTCCCTTTTTTTTTTTTTTTTTTTTTTTTTTTTTTTTTTTTTTTTTGTTACTGGTAGAGCAAAAATGAGAAAAAAGTAAGGAAAAATTATTTTTCTCTTGTGGAAACTTGCTTAGCATTTTTACTTGAAGTAAAGAACTTCCACAAACTTGAACTATTGTACTGATATTTTGAAAATGTCTGTGACTTTTTGAAGTATTCAACAAGTATTTAATTTCTCCCCTGGATCTCTGATGCAGCACAGATCCAGGGGAGAAATTTATTGGTATACTCCAGCTCCACGCAAGATGGCACTACTGCACTGGCAACCACTGGCAGGTATTTAACGAGACTTCAGAGAAAACTGTGACTGATGGGTGTCTCACTGATAAATTTGTGAGAATATCATGTTCCTTCAAAGCAGGTTACCAAAGATACCATCCACCTTCACTCACTGAGCCCCTTGCAACCAAGCAAACCGTTTTGGTCTGTGCAAATCTTTCCTTGAGGAGAAAGGAGTTTCAGAGTGCAGTAGACCTCTGCAGTGCAGCTCTGGCAAACCTCTGTGTTACAGAGATCTGCTTTCTGTGGACTTTCTGTGGAGGGGTTAGCATGATGGGGCAGCAGATTTCAATAACACCGGAACAGATATGGGAGAGGTGGAGGGGCAGAAATGTGACTTATTGCTAGAAAAAAGGTACAGGTTTCTGAAGAAAGGATCTAGGGCTTAAGAAGCAGCACAGAGAATGGACACTAGTTTCCATAGGGCATAAGAAGCCACTGTGACTCTTGCCTGTGGAAGGGAGGCTGCTCTGAGCTACATCAGACTTCAAACACTGGCAGAAGCCCACCTGCAGCAGGGGCTGCAGCACTTGCCTCTCTCTTGGTACCATAGCGGCTCTGGACATGAACTGAATTATGTGATTTCACTGATATTATAAATACTCATAGCACCACACTGGGGGATATAGCCTCTCCTGTTCCAATTCCCAGTCTGTCAGGTCATGGTACAGAAACCACAGGAAAAAATCAGACAGCGTCATATATTGCATGGTGCTGTTAGATTGTCAGCACTTCTGAAGGTAGGCAGTATTTCTCTAGTCCAGAAAGCAACAGGTATTGTTGCCATTACAAAAGACCCATGCAAAATCATAAAGACATTTCATAGTAACACAAATCTGGCATCCATTAGATAGGCAGTCATGTCTTCTTTGTTCTTGTCATATTTTTAAAAATAATATTTAAATTATAGGGTGTATTTTCTTCACAAACAGCTGGTCCAAAAATAATTGAACCTTGGAAATGCTGACTGTGATACCCAACAAAAAAAAAAAGAGTCAACAAAAAATTGAAATAGTTATAATTTGTGCCAATGCAGATATTTATGACGTAATTTATTTGTGATTTTTACATGATAAGGAAGAAAGAGGAACACAGAATTAGAACCAGAAGAAATATTTGAAAGAAAACAAATGTTCTTCCTCTTTTCTTTATATGTAGTGCACTTGGATGCATCAGTTTAATTTTACCATAATGACTTGGCTGTTAAACAATTCATTATTCTCTTCAATTATATAATCCAGATTGAGAAGGAAACATATCATGTTAGAGACAGCCTGCAGAAGTAGTATCTGGAAAGTAGGCTATATCTCTATCAGTCTATCTGACTGATTTCATTGAACTTGAAAGATTATCTACAAAATTGAATTCCAAAATCCATCAATCAAAAGAGTTAGTTTGAAAGAAACTGAAGAAATAAATTTAAGATCAATGTCCTGAATTTGTACTATTTTACAAGCCAATTTCCTTGTTTTATCACAGTATATTTACTTAAGTATGCTAGAAGTGTACTGATGGTAAACACAGATCACTGTAAGACATTTTAACCCTATAATAACTAATTATTTAACTTGTGACAGTAACTTTTTTATTTAAGATTTTTGGAATGAATGTTCAGCAAAATGATTCAGATTGCTAATATTTTACATTACTGAAGAAAGATTATTGCAGCCTTGTAGATTTTTACCTGTTTTTTTGTTTTACTATTTGATTTTTGAAAATAAGAGTTGTGTGAAGGAAAATTCTAGCAGCTACACAGAGCTGAAATAAGCCTGTAGCTTTGACACAGCATTTTTTGTTTGCTGTAGGGGAAGTCCCTATGTTATCTGGTCTTTTTAGTTAACCTAAGGTATTTATCATAAACTAGAAGCTTCCACTTCATTCTGGGAATGTTTTTGTAGTAATTTTTTGTTCTTACTGTAAAGGAACTTCACAGCTTGGCTTATGATTATTTTGTCTGGTTTCATGGCTGTTTTGTAACTCATGTACACCACACAGCTGTGTAAGTAAATTTGCCATTTACAAATGTCATGTTTATTGCTGAACAATTTGAAGCTTATTAAAATATGAGCAACTTCTAAGCCCTTTATTTGGACTCCTACCTGCCTTGAGATCTCTGTGTTTCTCTGTGCTTGTGGAGATGTGTCTCTGTTGGGGTGACATCCCCTGGGAAGGGCCTGGAAGCAGCAGGATCAGCAGTCTTTGTCTGTCTGGAAGTACACGTGAGGGGTGTGCAGAGAAGTTGTTATTGCATATCCTAATATCTACATCCTTCTTTCTGAGGGACTCATGTTGTATGTTTTTGGAAGATTTGAACACAATTAAATGATAGCTGTTAAACACCTCCACATCAATGTGCTATTATCAACAGAAAACCCAATGGCTTCTGGGTAGGGATTCCTGTGGTTTCTCTAATGCCTGCTGGCTTATGGCCCACAAAACCATTAACTTCATACTGCAGGTGGCAGTACCTGATGCTTAGGGCATAGAGAGCACAAGGGTTTGGGAGTCCTTCCCCTCCTTCAGTACACATCTCTGAGACGTGTATGCTACCATGGATCACAATTTTGTATTTGATTTATATTTTACCCTGTAAATACACTCATTAGTAAACCAGTCGCACAACCACTCTTTGGTTCTTTGGTAATGTCCTGAGTAATATGCTTATTTCAGGGTTGCTTTCTCACAGAAAAGTTACGGCTAAGATCTTGTTAGGGTTATATTTCACAACATAAGAAATATTATCGCAGCAAAAAAACTATGCATAATATTGTATGTCCAGATCATATTAGCATGTTATTAAATTGGAGGTTTGTTTCCCAGAAGGCTTTTTAAGTGGTAGGGAACAGAGCTATTTAAATAAATTGACTCTTTGTCTCTGGAGAAGCAGGACATAGCTCCTGGAATTTATGGATATCCTGGATGACTGTGTCCCTTCCAGTCCTTTGACACCAGTCATCCTCCCATGAGTATCAGTCATGCAAGCCATCCGTTTAGAAAGTGAATAAAGTGATCTCACCAAGTTAAAAAATAAAGGATAAGGAAAAGGCAAGGGAAGCAGGGTGAGGTAGGGGTACTGATGCTGCTTTTGGTTTTGTTTTCTAGAGCTCAAGGCTCTCAGGAACAGAGAAGCTGCCTGGAGAACTCCCTGTTCGGCCACGGCTGAAGCGCTGGGAAACGTGAGGCGTAGGAGCACAGCTCTGGGGGTTTCGGCACGGCTTTCCGCGAAGGGTCGTGGCCGAGAGCAGTTCCCGGCAGTGCCACGGCCGGCGCGGGTCTGGGGCCGGGGCCGGGGCCGGGGGGCTGGGGCCGGGGCGTAACACAGCCGGTCCGACCGGGGTCTGGCCGAGGTGGGGTGGGAGACGCTCCGCACAGCCTCGGCGGCCGCGGAGAGAGCCCCAGGCAGGGAGGAGCCGCCAGGCAGGGAGGAGCGGGACGGCAGCTCTGCGGGGCCCGGGGCTGCCGGTGGCCGGGGCGCGTCCCGGTGCTGCACCGGCCTCATCCCATCCTGAGGGTTGCTTGGGAATGCCCCAAGGCACGACTGAGATAGGTGTCTGGGAAGTTTGTTGCAAAACAGGTGAAAAAAAACCCAAAACTCGAACTCCACCACCGCAGTATAGAGCTGTGCAGTAGAATGTACTTGTGTGCCTGTAGATGTGTGTGTGTGTGTATGTATATATATATATATATATATATATATATATATATATGAGTATGTGTATATAAACAACATAATTAAACAAGAACAAAAAGAAACTCAACAAAACGCCACCTGTACTGGTGTTTTATTTGCTGTTAAAAATTTACATTAAAAATGCAATCCTGTGACCTC